GGGAGATGTTATCAACATGAGACATGTTATGTTGCAAATCTGCTTGCTTGAGAGCAGATTAATAAACCACAGGTCAAAAAAATGATCAGGTCTACACCAAATAAACTAAATAAGGTTAATATTTTGTGAAAATATAGATTAATTTTAATGTTGCACTGACCTGCAGTGTAACCATAACAAAAAGCCTTAAAAAAGATATACCAGCTTTGGAACAAAGAAAAAGAAGGCTTACTAGGGGGGGAAAAAACCCCAAAAGGCAAAAGAAAACAGCAAGCGTCCTCAGTGGAATACATTACCGGGACAGCAAAGGCATGCTTCAGATAAACCTTTCAGATGCCTTCAGTGTCCTCCTGACTTTCAGCTCGTCTCCAAAGAGACATGTTGTGTGCCAGGGAGCATTCATCAAATTAGACCGGAGAGAAAACAATGCGGAAACCCACGGCTTTCCATGGAGACACACAGACAGGTTATCACAGAGATGGTGTCTCTTGCTCTTGAACACAGGGGCAGTGGCGTACAGCTTTCTCCCTGAAGAGGAATCTTTCTTTCTCTCTGTCTATGCTGGCCAGCATTAAGGGAGGAAACCATGCATCCAGGGCAGCAGTGTACAAGTGTAGTGTTTTATATTAAAGTCACCTACTGCTTATAGAAGCTATCAAGGAATTGTGTTGAACACTGCAAGGCCGTTGGGTGTTACTAGGGAAGAGATCAGTGTTTATAAAGTTGTATATAAACCAGTGACTGCTGACTAAGCCTTAGCACATGCAGAGTACAGCTAGGCCTGGACATCTCATTATGGAGGACCATTATCAATTCTCACAGATCGAAAACCTGCATGACAGTTCTACAGAAAGCATTAGGATTCCATAGGCTGAGTCAGGTTGGTAGTTCCTAATCGGCATCTTCTTTGATGGTTCAATCACGGCATGAGCCAAGGCCAGTCAATACCTTTACCTTTCTGCAACATTTATTCCTATTGGCTTTAAAATACTTAATAATCTGAAATTACAGCATATAGTGAGTGCCAAGATTTCACTTCAGTTTCTGTGTACAGAGCAAAAACACTGTGCTTTTTCTCCCTCTTCTTCAACTGTCTCCCCGGGTTCGTTCAGAGGAGTGGGGTCTCTGCTGCAGAGGTAGATAAATGAGCTTTGCTGTAGGTTCACCATGGCTTCAGCACTTTACAGCTAGATTAATGATGCTTTGCAAACCTTGAGTCTTTGCTCTTAGCATTCTGAAGTACCTTCATAAAATGAACCATGGGTATATCTTCTTGATAAGCTTATCTGTTGGGAAATAATTCATTTGGGAAAATTGTTTTCACGTCAATAAACTTGACAGATTTTCCCAGTATTAAGAAAAAAAATTTAAGATTTTATATGAATAATAAATGGAGGCACAACACAGCTGAAAATGCTGCTAAAATCTCCTGAGTAGTAATGTTGTGTTTAGAATGACAAACCTCTGCTTTAATACATAACACACTGCCCAACTAATAAGAACGTAGTGATATTTAAGTCTCCAGTTCAGACTTGTCTTCTTAAATTAGGGTTTGTGCAATGGTGAGGCGGAAGTCAGGGTAAATGCTGCACAAGGGTAGTAATTTGGAGACCTAACCAACGTGCCCCCCTGCTGAAAGATTTAAAAGCTCTCTCCCTTAAACCCAGCCTGCCTGTAATTCACTAAACTGGAAAATAAGCTTTTGTTAAATATATATTCAAATATATATTCAATTTTCTTCATCTGCATTCAAACAGAAGCTGTAATTGTATATTTGTTTTTAAACACTAATGTTGCCCTTATACACACTGACATTCACTCACACCTTCCCCAACAACTTTGTCACCAGCTTCAAATAAACAAGCCATGCAGTAATTTTGTGGTCCACCTACACTTAAAACATTTATATACAACAGCATTCATTCTACTTAATTTGGCACAGAAAAAAAACACTGCAGGAACACTTGGAGAGAGTTGAAATTTGTTAAAACGGTCTTCAGACATCAGGATGTTACTTACAGGCTGAATAGGTCTAAAAGAAATCCTTTTCTTACCTGAGAAAACTAAAGTAATTTCTTATTTCTTCCTTAAGAAGATTTTTTTTTTAGTTTAATTAAACTTATGTTTAACCCAGACACCTTTCTGCTCAAGCTATTATCTCAGCTAAATTTATCGGTTGATGTGAGAGTGTTTCTGTGCTCATTGCTTTGATTTGGGTTACTCCCACCATAAAATAAGCAATACCAATTGTTTCATAATCCTGGGTCAATACGTTTTTTAACAAAAAAAAAAAAAAGAAAAAAAAAGGGAAAAGCTTCATCACAGAGAACTAAAAAAGTATTTCCAATACTTCAATTAGGGCCTTTAATGAACAACACCTGATTAAAAGAAAATAAAAGAGCCCATGTCTTGTTAACACACCCATAGAAAAACTGCTTTTGCTACATTCCGTTTTGATTTAACCAGAGAATTTGAATCCAGGTGCTTCTAATTAAAGCACTTCATCATTTTGATCACTTCTATAAAAGGAAGATTTTTTTTTTTATTGAAGGTTGTTGTTCAAGAGCATTCGTGTGATGATTAAAAAAAAATGCCTTGAACCAAAAGGAACCACTAACAGTGGTCTTTAATCTACCAACGTTATTTTCACATATTTTGAAGGGTCTTCTGCTTACAGTGGGAATCACATCTTACTAGAGCAACCATGTATTTGAATGAGTAACAAAATTTATAAAACAATAACCTTGATATAAAGTCCGAAAAAAGTTTATTTGCACACAAAGATTTCAGCAGTTGTCAAGCATTGGGTTGTCAGTGAGACAATTACAGACAGCATCTTAAACATAAATGGGAAACGGGAAATGTAATGAAATGTCCAAAACAAGGTCTAGCATAAGTCCTGCGCGTAAATTAATGCATGAAAATATCAATAATCTGAAGTGATATTTGTAAGAAGAATGAAAGAACCAGTTACTAATTATTCAAAAAACAGTTGCTTCAAGTTATGAATCTTGGGGGGCAGCTGGTTTTAAAAAAAATCTTTTTTCAGTTTTATATGTTTTAACAAATAGTATTATGATCAATAACATTATGAGTAGTTCTCCTAATTATTTCCATTCCTTATATTTAATAGTTAGCATTTTGTTTCCTGGGTTTTTCATGCATTGTTTGGTTATCTTATAGAAAATTAATGCATCTTTCTGACCTGTTTAAAGAAAAGAAAAGATAAATATGAACACCACCTCTTAGGTTACCCTTTGGGGAGGTATTCTGCAGATAATACACCCACATCACACAGTTTTCTCTCTGCACCTTAACAATAAATCTGACGGATGGAGTTTAAGGCCTGTGAGAGGGAGAATGAGACTGGTAAGGTGGGACAACTAGGGAGGCGGTATTGATTCCTTGATTCCCGTACCTCTGCCAGAGAGTGTAGTGTGTCGAGATCTCCTGCCAGGAAAAACAAATCATGAGGCAGAAGTGATTGATGTGGCACTCCAGGATCCGGTGGTTTTGCCATTTGGATGGCCGATGCTGTATATCAGCCTCATGCACAGCAAATTAAATTTACATTTGGACGGCTTCCCCAGGCCTCATGCTTTACAGATGCAACTAAAACGAGCCTCCACCACAGCACCCATAATGAGCTTGATCTATCATTTCCAGAACTATTATGTAAAGATCATGTTGGCCCATGTTCAGAAAGCCAGAATGATGTTACCGTCACAGGAAAATCAGATTAAGAGTAGCCAAATGGATGTTCGGCAAAATGACATCATCTTTTATTATCTTAAGAGGAGTCAATGTTAATCCAACTAGCAGATGTTTTGATGCACATTTAAACATTAGTGACATAATAGCACAAATGCAATACAAGCCTGTGTCCATCTTTATTTAAGTGCCTGATATTCTCTTTACCATTTTTTTTTTACTCATCACAAAAATACAAACAATGTGCACTTTTATTGAAGCAGCTCATTCTACTTAGCAGCACTTCATATCTAAAAGTCTAACTTGGCCTTGAGGAGGCTGCCACGCTTAAATGAAATGACCTTTAACGCAGAGCTGATCAAATGGCCTGAGGCAAGACTATAAAAAAACATTGCAGTATAATGTTTTACAGTGTGCTTTTTCTGGTCCGTTGTTTGCCCTTTCCCATTCTCCAAACTGGTACATTCTATCATCTTTAGTACGTGCATTTTCTGAAATGGATTTAATAAAAGAGCATGTATGGTAGGCAAATATAGAATATGGTTAAATTGCATGCTAATTTTGTAAAAGGGACTTATACGCATTGAAAGATAGAAGGAAATATTGATTGAAATCTGATTCTCTCTTGTTAGGATTAATCTTTTTCATTCATAAAAAAAAACTCTTAAACCTAAAATACCTAGGTTGTTAAACAAAACAGAAGTGCATACTTCCCCATTAATTATAGCTTTTCCTATAATGCTATAACATATAGATTCTAATGTTTTGTTTAATCTCCCTCTGGAGTCAAATAATTTTAAGCAGAGATCCCTTTGTGTCTGGATTAAGGTAATCATCTTTATTGCGTAAGCCACAAAGTTAGAGGAATTTTGATAGAAATGTCTGATTCTCTCTTCTTTGCTTTTCTTTAGTTTTTTACATCTAGATATCATAGGTGTATTTGATAGCTTTTAACAACCTCTTGAATGGTATCTGCAAAGTGACATGAACAAATGAAACAAAGCGTGCATGTGATTTGACAACTACGTTGTGAATTTGAATTGGCTGATCTCATTTTAGTAAAGAAGCTGTAGCCTTGAAAGCAGCGCAGCAGCTGCTACAGTGGCAGCCGTGTTGACAGATAAATCCAGCAGCCAAATAGTGTAGCTGTCTGGATTCACATGCCATCTGCCCGAACTCTCCTTAACCTAACCCTCCAGAATTGCTGCTTTTGGATGTTTTGAGTGGAGCTTAAGAATTTATTTCCATCACCTCTTTATAACGTATATCCCTTTTTCTTTCCCTTTTAGACAACTGAGGACAGTGTGGTGGCTTCTGCTGAGTGTCCAAGTGATGATGAAGACATTGATCCCTGTGAGCCGAGCTCAGGTGGGTTAGGTTAGTCATCTCTTTTTTTCTTCTACTTCTCTTTGGGTGTGTCAGTGTGTCTTTGTGCATCATAAATTACCTTCAGCAGGACATTACACATCAATCGACAGTCAAACTGAACAGATGGGAGCTGTAGTAAAAACCTTAAAGATATCAAGGAATTAGTTTTATTTTTCTCTTGCTGCTGCTCTGTATCTTTTCAATCTGCTTTCTAGCTTTAAGGGGATCTTAAACTACAGCATAGAAAACTGTGAGATGAAAAGATTTGGTTATTGTGGATATAAAATTTAAGGTCTTTACTGAAAAAATCTTCGCTTAAAACAGTCCATTTTAATTTTCCCACTTTATTTGTATTATTTAGATGTACTGTATTTTGATTTATAGAATTACCCTCTTCCTTTTGTGTTTAGTGAATAGCTTGGTAGGAACAAAAAGCAAAATATCTTATCTTCAGAGTTTCCAAATAAGAGGAACTAAATTGCCCGTGTATTTTCTTTTTTTAGAAGGTGTAATAAGTGTGGTGTATTGCAGGTGATCTAAAAAAGATTGCTGCACAAATGGTAGGATGTGCAAACCAATTTGGTTTCCTCAGTGAAAAGAGCAGATGGCATGTTCTACAGGCAGTTTAAGAGTGGCTGTAATGATTAGGGTTCAAAGCCAATGAGATGCAATGGACAAAATTAAAAGAAAATAAAATGTGCTTCTTGCACAGTTATATTTTATTAAAATAAGCAAGTAAAAAAATCCCTGTTGCAAAGAGATGAGTTTTTAGTCGTCTTTTTTTCTATTTCATTTAATTGTATACATTTTGTCTGCAATCCCGCTGCAATTTAAGCCGGCCTGTGTAGACGTTTGTTTCTTTTCTAATATTATTTTGCAATTCTCACTTTTCAGTTTCCAAATATGTTTACCTATCCCCTGGATATCCTATCCTAACTATCCTGTGATATTGTACCAATGCATGCTTTGTGGCAACATTGACCGCAGGTATTCTTGCATGTCAGTTTTCACCTAACCTTCAGAAGTAATAAAAATGAAAAAAACCTTCAGCCACTGTTGAGTTTATAATCTTGAAAATGGCTATACACATGGTAACTGTTTACATTTGCATACCCTCCCCCTATGAATTTGTTCAGTTTGGTCATTATAAAAATTCTACATTTAAATGAGGTAACACAATCAAAGAATGGTTTGCACACGCTGTTTGATTAATTGCAAACCCAAATAACTTTGCACCTTCTTTAAAGATCTGCTCTGCTTGTACAAACACATTTGCACCTGTTTTAAGAAACAAAAACCTTCTAAAGATCAGGCCCTTTGTCTGCAAACAAACAAAAATATAGATGGTGTCAAATTGAACTAAACAACTAAATGGCTAGATATCTGCCTATCTATAAAGCAAAAACTTTACTTTACGACAATGGACACGATTTAATAGCTGTCTGAAGATCATCCAGTCATTATATTTTGACATATTATTCTTAAGGTTGTTTTGTGGATGTTTTATGAACATTATGCTGTGTAAAACATCCAACATCAAACCCTTATCCATATTTAAATGTTTATCTAAACCGCTGGATAACTTTTACATATTAGGGTATTAGGGACTCCAGGACCCTCTAATCCAAATTTATACTAAATTAAGATACCAGGATGCTCATTTACTGCAGGCCAGTCAACAAACAGACTAAAGTTTTTTTTTTTCTTCTCAAAATTACTCTTCCTTTTCCCCTTTGCCAGAGATATTGAGTTCCAGGCTCTGTCAGTAGGGATAGTGGAATATGAATAAATCATTTAAAAAATTAAAAACATTAAAAAAGCACAAACAATGTTTGTATTTATATATGCAAGAATGTCTTTTGTGTTTTTACCAAACATAAAATTCCTTAACTGGGGGGTAGTAAGAGAAGCATAGGAGAGACACTGTTGTCTGGTTTGCTCGAACGTTTTCATGAAAATAGATTTTTGGACTTTATAAAGAAGTTTTTGCCTCAAGTATAGTAAGGTGGAAGAGAGCGGTGAATATAGTTTTAGGTTTTATGCTAACTATTCACACTCCAGGAAATTCTGCAAGGTTTTCCTCCCATTTGACCCAATGCAGGCAGTGTGCTGTTCTACCTGCTTTCTCCTCCTAAGAACCATCACATTTCTGAACCAAACCATGGTGTACATGATGAGAGAGAAGGAAGATACAGCAGCAGCTCCCCATTATTACACTGAGTAAAGTGGGAGGAAAACAATGCTGAATCACTGTATGGTACATAGCCAGTGTTAAACCTAAATCCACCTTCACGGTGGACTTCTGCTGGACTTCCTGAAGTATTTTCGACATTAAAATAGCCGATCAATGTTTTTTTTAAAAACACCATGTCTCTCCTATTTGGACCATATGAACTGTTCAATGCTGATATTTTTTATAAGGGGAAATCTATATGCCTCTGTACAGCTTATTTAGTGTGTGTTCAACTGATTTAGGAGTTATTAAATCCTCCTTCAGCCTTCAGACATGGTTTTGGTAAATAGTAAAATCTATTTCACTGTGAACCATTCCAGTTGCGGTATTCCATAATATCATTGTAGTCACTATTGAATTGTATTATCTTTTCCTATAGTGCTTTCTTTGCGAAAATCCAATTTCTCCTTTTTCCATGGTCAGTCAGTGAACAGTAGTCTGTTTCCATTACATCAAGGCCCTAATCATCCTTAATGCACCATCTTCGGAGAATATACTAAAAGAGCAGTTACCAGTTTGGAAAAAAAAACTGTAATGGAAACACTGCAAAATGGGCTGAGTGGAGTAGAGCCTCTTTCAACTAGAGCCCATGGAATACGGGCTCTAGATTATTAATGAAAAATGGTTTGTCAAATTTATAGTAGTAATGGTTAGAAAGTATCTTATTGTAACTACTACAAATCATGTATATCTGTGCTGCCACTCTGTCAAAATTTACATTTTTCTAAAGCAATGGGGTCGTCTTGACAGTATAAGTGTTTCCATCCACCAAGCAAAAAGGATTTAGCTCTATTAACATGTTATTGCAAGTCAAACACTTCCTTCTTGGTTACCGTACTTTGAACTAAGACCTCGTCCAATAACAGACCTTTTGTTATATCCAACAAATTTCTTGGGCAAAAAGAGGTCCTGTCCAGAAAAAGCAGCAATGACACCAACATTTTAAACCTGTTTCAAGTGTGAAAAAAAATGTAAGCACTTGGTCTATATACCCCTACCTGTATTGAGAGCTATTATCTGCTATGTTTGCGCATTAGGACCACCACAGATAGCTTCATCCTCAATACGAACGGGCTTACACAAATTAACACAAGTTATTTTTAAAAATATGTATTTATGAACAGGGGTGAGTATTGGCATGGGTGTTGTGATAAGATACATATCACGATACTTGGATCACAATACGATTGTCAAGGTTTTGCCCTTTAAGTTGCTTTTTAAGTTTTTTCTTTCACTGCAATTTTGTGTTGCTCTCTATTGCCCCCTTGTGCCAGTCTCCTTTCACCTGCTTCTTGTCAGGTGATTAGCCCAGTCCTTGTTCAGTCTCCCATGTATAGTCCTCTTGTGCAGTTTCTCAGTGCTTGTTGCTCATCGTTACTTTGCTCCTCATATCTGTTTTTCTGTATTTTTTCCCTGGATTTGTGTTTCTGTTGCCATCTGCATTAAATCTGCAAGAACTCATCTCTGCCTCCTCATCTCTGCGTTTGGGTCCACGACCACATCCACCATCTTTGATAACGATATTATCATGATATTGCAATATCACTATATATTGTACTATATTTCCCAGCTATCAAAATTAAATGTGTAGATAAAAAAGCAAGTGCTCTGTATGTTCATCAGATTATATTGATCATTTAGTTATTTTGGTATTCATGTTGTTTGTGTCTGAGCATTCATTTGCTCTGCATTTATGTTAATAAGGAGCATGCTTATTGGTATGGGAGGCTGGCCCAGAGTTATACACATTGATCCGGTCTAAAAACAATAACAAAATCTCAATGGTGCCCTCATTGAGAGACAAGCCTAAACGAACTGAGGCGTTTTGGAATCTATCTGTTTGCGGTAAAGTAAAAACTGGAAAGTAAAGAGGCAGACACATGGGAATCTAGGTCTTCCCTACAGCTTTGAGAAATGACAGTATTGCAGCTTTTTATGTACTGTAACACACACAGAAAACCAACCAGAGCAGTTTATAAACTAAATATATATAGTAGAGAAATGAAAAAATACATACGTGATAGAAATCTATTTTCTGGCATGAAAAGGGAGCTCATACAAAAAAAGAAAAACAACAAAAAAAGTCGCTTTCAAACTCTGGATTTTCCATCAGGTTTTAACTGATGGCCAACGACAAAACACACGTTTAACCTGGAAAAATTTCCGGACGACAACGCCTTTAAGAGACTCAAATATGCACCCAATTTACCTCTTATTTGCATTTACAGGCAAAGTTACATGGTAAATGCGACTGAACACTAATTTACAGAAATATTATATTTTTTTTTTTTATTTCAGACAAAGTATTAAAGGACATATCCATACATATAATTTATCACATATTCAGTTACATACCTTGTCAAGACACCAAGTTATAATTCATTTGCTAAAAAAACTATTAATGGTAAATTAGCAACTTAAAGTAAATTCGTACTATGACATACTTTCCCTAAAAAACACCACAGTATTTTTATCAAAGCTAGAATATGTGCATTCAAAGGAGTTCTCATAAAGACAATTGGGAAAAAAAGGAAAAAACAAACAGTTCTAACAGTTTCTAAAACTCATGTGACTTCAACAGATTAAATATAAAATGGGTAAAAGCCAGAGAATAATGTGATTTTCACAGATGTGCACATTGTCCCCACTGTTATTAATTAAAATCTACAGCAGGCAGCGTTAGTTTTTCCTGTTTTTTCTTGTAAACTCTTGTTCGTAACTCCCCTTGGATATGATGATTGAGGTGCATGTCAACATATTGGGAGGACTTATTAAA